CATATAGGTAGTTCCTTTACTTTGAACATAATTTGCTCTTTTCTACAATTTGTTTCAAAGTTTAATTATCTGTTTTAGACCAATTTCTCAGAGAAAACCGATACTAAACTCTTCCAGTATGACAGGAAAATCTCTGAGAGCCTTTGTTCAAAGGGAATTAAACTAGCAGAGCATCTTAGAATACAAGCAACAGGAAGTAATTATTTTTACCTTCTTCAAACTTGTTCCTGACTGTTCAAAAGAGAAAAAGAATACATATTTTCAGTCTAAAACACATAACACCAGGGTGGTTTTTTTAAACTCTTGAAACAGCATTTGGTTCTTGAAACCCAAAAGAACTTGAGCCTCACACATGTTAACTTATTCGATCTCATGTCAGTGAATATGATTCATACTTGTCCTCTGTCCTGCAAAGACTCTTGCACTGGCATGACATACAGAATACTATCAATTTGGACCAGCAGCACTTTACATTCCTTTTGCAGGAGAAAAAGAAAATTAAAAATACGGAAAGCAATGGCTCATTGTAAGTAAAATAAAAATAACAAACATACTGAAAGTTATTTCACCCATTCAGATCTTCTTCATGTCTTTGCAACTTGTAAATGCTTTTTGGATTTATCTAGATAAATCTAGATGTACTTAGCATCTTGATGAAACTCTGCAACTTGATGTGTCCCTGGAATACTTGGGGAGGGGAGGCAGAGAATAAATCAGTGTGTAATTTGAGTTACAAAAATTTATAAATACCCTTCTAAGAACTTAAAATTCTTTCTGAAGACAGGTTTTGTTTTTAAACTCAGATCTGAATTAAAGGAAACTTGCTGGAATAATATTTAATTGCAAGTATTAGCTTCGTAAGGAATGACCAGTCTATTGGAATGATCCTCTCCACAGAAAACTATGGCTCTCACATTCCATCAGTGGCTTTGGAGGCCTGTTAGGCTTTTTTGTTTCTCTGTGCTTTTCTGTTTCCTGAAGTTGAAAGTATACACTAAAAAAAAAAAAAAAAGTACCGATTCATAAGATTCTCAAATTCCACTGCAAGACCATAACTGCACTTTCTTGTACATTTTGTCTTCAATATCCACCCCATTTTCATGACCACATTTTTTAATTTCTTGATTGTCAACTATCTTTACCTCCATCAAGTACTAAAATCTGACTTTCTGTTACTGTACAATACTGTACAAACTTATGACCTGCAGCATACTTTATGCTTAATGGCCATCACCATACCCACAACATTCATCATGTATTCTGTTTTAGCATCTATTAGTCAATTTTAAAGAACAAAATTAAGAATATTTTAGGACGTTACTGGTTCATCCTCAAGGTGTTTAATTAAACACAACAGAAAAGGAGAGCAAACTTCACTTTTTATTTCTATTCATTTTTTCTGCTACAAAATTAATTAGAATTAATTATGATTAATGGTCTGGACTTTTTTCTTCATAAGTAGCTTCTTTGTCTTAATTCCTCTTTTAGTGGTTAGTCTCTCCATTAAGATTTTCTGCCTTCATGGTTTTTTTTGTTGTTTTAATTTTTGATTTTTGTTTTTACATATTAATGTAATTCTTCTGCTCAAGGAACTTCAATTCCTCATCTACAATATTTGCTTTATTTGGTGTATGCGGTGATATTACATGATCTTGAGTGATTGTTTTCAAACGTCCATATGACAAATGTGATTTTCACTTGAATATCTCCAAAAGATTCACACAACTCTCCTTTATGAATGTATTACATACTTGATGTGTTCAGACTTTGCAATTTACCCTCATAAAACCCTTTTGTGATACAGAAATATTATCGATGTTTTACAGTGGAACAGAAAACGAGTCAGCTTATTAAAGTACTGAAACACTTAAGAATGCCTATTGGGATTTTCAAGGTTTCTCTGACTTATAACCCTTATTGAACTAATTGAAGATTTTTTACTAAATGGCTAATTTGCATTTTTAGTTTTCTGAAAAGCTTTAAAATCTGACTCACCCATGTCACCCTTTATATCCAGTGGACCAGTGCATTAAACCCAGATTTCATCAGCCCTTAAGCTTATACTGCACATGCAGGGCTTCCCACAACAGGGCAAATTACATGAAAAATAAAGATGTGGCACATACCACAGGCATCTAGTCCCCTCCTGTCCCTGTCCTTCTCCCTTCTGGTCTAAGTCACATACCAAAGCCTCAGACAGCAGGGAGCCACAAAGCCAACTGCATCAGATGTCAGACAAGAAACACGTGGATCTCCAGGGATCTGGCTGCTCCATGCTGGGATTGAGGGGTGCCAGGAGGCTGAGCTTGTACACAAATACTTCTGTCATGCTCAGTAACCCCTCAGCTCACTATCTCCCTCAGTTAGGGTTTGATTTTTCTAAATATTGACAGGGGACAGAGCCAACATGCATAAATGGCTCCAACCAAAGTGTTGTAAAATTGTCTATATCCACCATGGGTTTAGGCAAGTAGCCATTTTATTTCTGAAAAACTTGTAAGCATTTCCCCACGCTTTGATTCCTTTGCAAAACCTAATCAGGTGTATGTTTTCTAGTTGCACTTTTCTCAACTCAGTTGTACACGTTGCTTTTTCAGGTGGCCTAAAAGCAAATTACTCAGTTTGGCTAATTCACATCACCTTCACACCTTGGGGGGCAGTAAGTTGGAACAAGGATAGCATCATCTTCTGCCCAGTTCTGACAAGGAGATGCTGTATTTCAGCATGGGTTTTCTTGACATCTGTATACTTAGACCACTAGTGGCTGGAAAGGGAATGGTTTAGCTGTCAGGGCTTTTTAAGCCCATTTTGCCCTTGCTGAGTCAATGAAACTCACTACATAAAGCAGACTGGATTTGGTTAGTGTACTGCCCTTTGATTGTGAATCCTATTGCTTCATTTTGGAAGTCACGTACACTGCATTCTTAGAGGTCACACCCTCATATCTAAGGACTCGCTAAACAAACCACATGAGCAGACATTTTACTGGGACAATATATGTATTTTAATCAAAGAAATATAAGACTAGGTAAATTAATAAATTCCTGACATTGCTACCTTACAGAAGTGCTTTCCAAGTCAGGGCTTATGGATAACATGTTGCCTGCTAGACCCTCTGAGACTGGCTGCAGCTGCAAAAAATAAAAATGTTACAATTGAGGCCAATAGGAAGATGCTGCCTGCAGCATAATTGCTCACTGTTGTTGCAATTGGCTGGCAAAGGTTAGGATCTGCTGCTTTGTGTAATTGAGCAGGTTTGCACAATACTGGAAGGCTGTTGTATAATAACAGTTGAAGCAAAACAGGTAGAAATAAATACACATTTTTTAGGTAGAGGTGATAAATTTTTACTGAGCACACTATGCTTTAAAAATGCTCCCAAACAGATGCCAGGTACTCTTTTTGCCCGAGGCTGATGGAGAAAAAGCAGGTAGCTTCCGAAAGAAATCTGAAAAACTGTATCCAAGTAGCTGAGGTTAAAGTCTCCATATGCATTTCAAGTAGTTTTGTATCCAAAGCGAGCACTGATTTAGGCAGACATTTTTGGAATCATGACCTGATATACAAATATGTGATTGATCCTTTAGTAAATGAAAATTACTGAAAATCACAGGCGTCTGCCACAAAAACTACTGCTTATATGAACAAAGTAATTAAATATGAACCAATAACTAAGTCTGCCTATTTTTAAAGAATCCTTATCAAGCATTGCATGAATCACTTCAATTTGAATATTTCAAGTAGTGAAAAGCTAGAATGGTAGCAAATAGCTTTGGATACAAGTGAACTGAATGATGGAAAATTCCTTATTCATTTGTTGTGGTAGCAGACCTTTTTTCCCTCTCCATTTTTTTTCTTAGTTTTACTTATTTCATCCAGGCCTTTTAGCATATGCAAGGATTTGTCAGTAAGTTGCACTCTGAGTGTTACTTCAGGCTCACCAAATCAAAAAAAAATACGTAAGAATAGTGTCACTAGACTGCCCTACGCTAAGTACACTGATTTATTTCAGAGAATAATAAACTAATACTGTGCTCTGATGACTAGCTGATCTAACAGCAAGGCTTCCCACTACTGCAAATGTTTCTCAACTTCTCTTTTAACTCTCTAAATTTCTCCTCACAATGAGCAAACCCATCTTGATGCAAAAATAAATATAACAAGCTCCTACTTTAAATTGCAATTTGCCTTTCCCTTATGGCCACAGACATAAGGCACATCCGCAGTCTTTCCACATTTTTGTGCAGCTGGAGCTCAGCTTCCTTATGAGAAAGCTTCCTTGAAGTTTTTTAAGTAGGAGTGTTATGCCAAGATGCAAAAAGGCAACCATAATCCTGACACACATGACCATAATTCTGACATACAAACACAAAACCAGCCGGTGAACATCTTGCAAGCCCCACAATCTCTACTTGTACCTACAGAATTAAGAGGAATAGTCTTCTTAGTTTGTAACACACAGAACTGGGAAGTTAGGTTAAATCGCGTTCCAGTTACATTGGGCTTTCTCCTCTGCGCTTAACTCCGGAGAGCCGGGAGGGACAGGGCAGCCCCGGGCTCCCAGCACTGCAGTAGAGCCGCGGCAGCGCCGGGCAGGGCGGCTCCGACCCGCTCCGGGTGAGCGGCGGCGGCCGAAAGTTGCCCGCCCGCCCTCTGCGCTTCCGCACCCGCTGCTCGCACGGGCAGCGCTGCAGCCTCGGGCTCTGCATCTCCCCCGGCATCTGGCGCTGCAACCCAGCGCCAGGCGCAGCCGAGCCCAGAGGAGCGTCCTACCCCGACCAGGCCGGGCAAATTTCCCCCCAGCCCCGCGTTCCCGGGAGCATCCCCCCCTCCACTTTCACCGCTCCGTTGCCGCTCGCTCCGGGCAGCCCCCGCTGCGCCGGCAGGCCTCGCCCCGCGGCGCCCGCCCGCCGAAGGATGGCGGGGGTATTCGCCCTCCTCCCACAGCCGGGGCCGGGGGAAGCTGCCGGTGCCCGCGCCCCCGAAGGCAGCGGCCGTACCTGAGTCGCTGAGGCGGGGCCGGGCTCTGTCCCGCAGGTAGTAGATGAAATCGCGGCAGTTCTCGTTCTCCACCGCCCCGACGGAGCACAGCTCGGCCAGCAGCTGCAGTGCTTTCTGGCAGATCTCGTCCTCCCTGTCGCCGGGCATCGCCCCGCAGCATCATCGGGAGCGGAGCGGAGCCCTGCGGTCAGGCACCACGCCGCTGCCCGCCGCCTGCCTGCAGCTGCCGGGCCGCCGCCCTCATCTCCACTCAGCGGCGCCCGCCCCGCCGGGCCAGGCCGGGCCGCCCCGCCGCTCCCCCTGCGCCGCTGCCGGGGCCGGACTGGGGGGGTCCCACCTGTTGAACGCGGGGGCGGGAGGGCCGGTGGGGCCGCGCTGCGCAGCTCTGCCGGCGGCGGGAGCGGCCTCCGTGCCCCTCTCCGCCCCGGGTGCAGGTCTGTCCTGAGCCCCGGCCCGTGGGATCCGCGGCCGGCACCCCCAGAGCTCGTCCGATCGTCTGGGAACTTCAGAGGCGGCGCAGGGGCTGTCAAGGGGCGCTGCTGGGCGCGGGTTCTGACGGACAGCGCCCCGTCCTCACCCTCCCCATCGCTGAGCAGGCCCGGCCCTCCTCCGATAGCTTATCCCGTGCCGTGTGCCCTTGTGTCTCAGTGCCCGCTCCTGCCCAGGAATTATCCCTCTCGCTCAGCTTATCGCCTGGAAATGCCTCTCTATCCCCGCGCCCCTCGCAGTAGGGATCCCCGGAAAGTGAAAAATGTATCCTGGACAGAACGGAGATCTTCATACAGCAGATTCATATTTTGGCTTGGCTGCTTGAGGGGTTAAAAAGGGTTAAAAGGACGGCTGAGAAACCTCAGGCACCTGAGACCCAGCCATAGCTTGAGGGGAGGGCAGGAGAGCCTTTCCCGGAGGAGGTGGGGGCTGAGGAAATGTCTGCCATTAGGCATGTTTATCCTGACAAGTAGGAGATTCTTAAGGTGCTGCTTTGCTTTCTGAGTTTGTAGGCTGGGAGGCTGGTGGGTGTCATAAGGGGAAAAGCTGAGAATTGGCTGCTCCATTTAACTTCATTTTTTTTTCTCTCACTCCCTTTTATAATAGTTTAAGCAAGTATCAGAGGCCGTGATGAGCTCAGAAAGTTCAGACTATTGTGCATGTTCAGCCTACTGTTTAAAAATTGCTGATAACAGTTCTAGAAATAGCATAATTTTATCGTAGAAGTTTTTCTCATTTTAAAGAAAAATGTATATCATTGAAATAAGATGTATTCTGGGAAAGGAATGGATGTTAATAAGAAAAGTTGTTTACTAGTGTAACTCATCTCCTAATGCTTTTGCAACATTGCTTATGTCTCAAAGGCATTGGGTTTTCCCCCCTAATTTTTAATAGAAAAATAATATCTGTAAATATGGTTGCATAAGCCAGGTATAATTTTATCAGTAATCAAACAACTAATTCATGCTGGCTTGTTGTTATTAGGAATTAACAACAGATAATAAAATAGTATGTAGATATTACAGTTGTTGACGTATTTTTGAAGGCCAGAGGTTTTGATGACATCAGTATATGTTTTCAAATCTAAACATAAGGAAAATTCCTACTGGTCTCAATAAATGCTGCACAAATACATATCATGGTGCTGGAAAAAACAGGAGGATTGGCTTGTTTCCCTAATCATGCAGGGAGAAAGACAGTTCTTGAGAGGTACTGTCAGTCACACTAAGGATTAGGCTTTAGCAGTCCTGTTGCAGTCCTACTTCAACGAAGAAGGGGTAAAATTTAAAGAACTTGGTAAAGCTAGAGAAACCAGAATGTCTTGTAGGGAAAAACAGTTCAATAGGGGTAGGGAATTAGTCATACATATGTAAGCTGTCTGGGGGCAGAAACTTTTTAATCTGTAAAACAAAATCAAGTCCTGGCCAATGCTGGGGGTATGTCATAAAGAGGTGGAAAGACAGAGGAGCTGTCAAAACCCACTGACAGAGATATCTGTGAAGTACAGTTGAGTTAGTCCAGTGGTCGTCTGTGACCAGATTTTGAATTACTGTACAATATAATTGTGACTCATTTAGGCAGATTATTTGCCTATGTTTTGGTAGTTTGGCCCTGGCCAAGATGGCTGTGCTGTTCTATAGCTTTTACTCTGTCCAGGATAGACAAATACAACAACTGCAAAGCGATATTAATGCAGTTACCAGAGTGTGGTTTTTATCCTGTGGGACCACAAGCTCATTGCTAGCTTCGGATTCAGGCTTGATGCTGAGTGAACTCTGGACAGCCAGGTGATGAAGTGTTAATTTCTTTATCCTTCTCCTATAACTAAAGTATCTTGCTCATTTTTTTAAATAGCATGCAATTTGAAGGTGCTGAGACGTTTGTAATACAGATGGTTAGAGTTAGAAATTTTTCAGTCTGGTGGAGGAGAAACCACAAAACTATTTGGACATCACTGCTCATAAATAAAGGCATCTATTCTCAAAATCCCTGAGCTCTAAGTGCATGGTGTGAGCAAATGCCCATGTCTCTGGAGGTGGCAGCAGTAAATGTAATCAGCTGTGTCTCAAAGCAAGTGCAACATTTCCTTCCTGAGTTTGTTTGTGAAAACCAGATTATATCTGCCATTTTGTGATCATTGATTACATGTTTCTCTTCTTGCAGGCACTCCTTGTTGGGATGGGTTTACTCTTTTTGTCAGCTGCACATTTTCCTAATTCAGGGGACTATGTTACATTTGGGATCCCTAGTGAATGCTGTACTAATTAACTGTGCACCTAGAAGGGCATTGCATTATGCAGTGAGATGCTCTTATTAACCTTATCTTGAGAGTTACAACTTGTACTGACTGAAACTCCATTTTTTTCTGTTTAGCTCAGAGCTGCCCTCACACAATACAGTGTACTCAGAAAAACAAGTCCCCAAGCCTGCTACACACAAAGTCAGAATAAGTTTAACTGTTTGACTTACAACAGCTCTGTCTTCATCAATTGATATGTTCTTCTTTGCTTGAAATAAAGCTTTTCCCCAGTGTTCTGGCAGAACACAAGGATTGCTGGCAATGAAGTAATCTTCAAAGCTGAGGTGTTCATGAAACAAATGCATTTCTAGAAGAAAGTGAGGCAACTTGTATCAGAATTTTTATTATGGCTATGCTCCAACTAGAACTTATCAAGTATTTGTATTTATAATTGCTTGAATTACATTTGCCCACAAAGAGGTGGGTATAAGCTCACCATGAACTTTTTCTTTAACAAAAGGGAGAGATGAGGCCATGTGTATTTCAGGAAATCAAGAAAACACATGGAACTACTAAGTTACTAGTGAAACACGACAAACAAGATTATTTTTGTCCCCCAAAAGTCAAAGTGTGTGAATGTGACAGGGTTTTTAGGGAAAAAACCCTCTCTGCGGTCCGTCTAGTAAAGACGGGGCTGCAGTGATGCAAGCCTTAGTGCTGGCTGGATGAGACAACACACAGCACGCAGGCTGTTCAGAGGTAGAGAGACTTTATTCAAATTTCCCACAGCTTATAAGGCTGCTGGAAGGAAGGGAGTGGCTCGGCTATTCGGGTAGCCAATGAGAGGGGCAGAGATGTTAACACCCAGTAGGAACCCAGGAACCAGGGAGGGACAGGTGATACAACCAATGGGATTAGGATAGGGGTGTGGTCTGGCTCTGTGGGCAGGACTAACATGGCGCTGCCAAGAGCGGCCACATGTGCATAAAGTGAAAGAGGTTTTTTACACGGTAAAGGAGAATCTGGAACAATAGATTCGCAATATAGGCTTTCCTGTGCTGACTTTGGGAAACTGCACTCACGTCTGTTTCTCCTCTACAGCTTGTCTCTCACAATTCCTCCGTTTTTATTTAATAATGAAGCATAGACTTGCGAAACATTGTGCATCACCAGACCTTGAAGACACTTGACTATACAGGGGAGAACACACAGAAGGATTAATAACACAAACAACCCTAAAAGCAGAAATAATAAAAAATTTTTCAGGGGTGATGAGAGTCCTTCTAAAGACATCCAACCAAACATGTCATCCCAGCTAACCTCGTTTGATTTTTGGATCTGTTCAATGACTGTGTGGAGTTCGTTTATTTGGGAATGGATGGACTGACAGTAGTCTGAGAAATTTAAGCAACACAGACCTTCAAACTCACTACACCCATGTCCATTAACTAATAACAGAAAATCTATGGCTGCTCTATTTTGTAAAGTAGCTTTTTCAATTTGTTGGGAATCCAGTAAGAGGTCTTCCAGTGCTGCACTGGTTGCATTCACCTCTGGCTAGCCAACATCCCATGCTTGTGAGTAGATTTAGGGCATGCAAGGTCCCAATTGCTGGAATGATTAGACTGCCCCACATGTCTCGATTATGAGACCAAAAGTTGAGGTTAGAGTCACAGTCCTCTTTGAATTGTTGTAAATTTTGAGATTTGAACAGGGGATGTTGGTGAACCAAAGGGTCAGGGGCTGCTTGAGGGACTGTAATCCTTTTGATTGATATCTCATGTTTTGTGATTTTTTGGGGGGGATTATTAACTAGAGAAGGCAATGCCTTAGCAGGGTTATAAAACGTTACTTGTCCAAAGGTGCAAGGTCCTCCAACTGCCTCTTTAGGGATTGATTTCCATACCCAGAATCCACAGATAAGGAATACCCCTTTAGGGAGGACAACAGACAGGGAGGGAGATTCAATTTTAAAAGGTATTTTTTCCTTGTACCAGAACTCAAAACTGGAATAGGCTCCATGAGATGTTACATTAAATTGCCCTTTACTTTTCCCCTCCATTTTTGTATAAAAATAAAAATATGAGCTGAGGGGAGGGTACATGAGTAGGACAAAAACAGAACAAGGAGAACGTTGATGTGGTTAAAGGGTACCATTGTGCTGAAGGCAGTCACCTGAAGTCCAGGCCGGAGAAGGGAGATGCTGTTGTAGCTTCAGAGATTGATGCATCTATCAAATCTTTCTGTTATTGGCTCTGCCAGACTTTCTGCCTCACTCTCGGTCTTCCTCTTCTGTTCTTAATGGATATATCATTTTATGCTGCTTAAAAATAGAAAGTGCTTAGGTGAACATATAAGAAATAGAAATGTCGGTTACTACTACTGAGTTTTTGTGAGATGATGCTTTTCTGAGCAGCTTCATTCTTGAGATGAGTTAGTTATTCTTCACAGAAGATTTTAGGACTGCTTTTAATGGGAGGATAGTTAGAAAATAGGTATGCCCTCATTTGGCCTTTTTACTCATCACTGACTTATAGAGATGGAAACAAGTT